TTTCTCAGCTTTCCGCATACTAAACAGTTTGTGTTTTCATGAATTTTAAATCTGTTTAGGTATGCCGGGAATTTAGCATGACTTGAAAGGACCTGAAAAAGGTCTTTGTCAGTTATGGTTTACATTTTTTTTCGAGATTTCAATGTTTTCTAAGTAATCCTTCCTACGGTTTGAATCTCTTCACTTTCTATTCCATTCATTATATATATAATTAGATCCATTTTCCTTATTGCTTTCCCTTTAAATTCCCATTAATCCATTCTTTCTATATTTACAATGGTATCAGCCTCTTTTGCAAGGGCGTCCGCCCGCTCGTTTATCTCATATGCAACGTGCACTTTCACCCAAGAAAGTTTTATTTGATGTTTTGTGGAAAGATCCCTATACAGTTGTTTCACTTCTTGAATATCCATACTCGGCTGGAGAGGCTTACTACAAGGGGTGATCAAATGAAAAGGTACGAAACGACACGGTGGGTACAAATGTAGACTTTATTCAAGATATACACCATCGGCCTGAGCACAACGATCCCACTGATGAACAAGCCGCAGGATTCTTTGTTCCCAGAATTCCTGTGGCCGTGACGAGACTCAGTCCTTCACAGCGTCTTTGAGTACATCGTCCGAGTTGAAGCGCTTCTCTTTCAGGTGTTTCTTCAGTGGAAATGCATGGAAATCGCAGGGCGATATGTCCGGACTGTAGGGCGGATGGTCCAACGTCTCCCACTTGAACCTGGCCAGTTCCATGTGTGTGACTCAGGAGACGTGTGGACGCGCGTTATCATGGAGCAGAACCACACCCTCCGTGAGTAGCCCGTCTTTTGTTCTTGATGGACCTGCGTAGGCGTCGGAGTGTCTCACAGTACACATCGGAGTTAATGGTTTTTCTGTGCTCGAGGAATTCCACAAGTAGCGGACCTTGAACGTCGAAAAGACGCCTTGCCTGCTGACGGCACGGCTTTGAACTTTCTGGGGGGGGGGGGTTACGACGCATGCTTCCACTGCATGCTGTCCCGCTTTGTCTCTGGCTCGTAGTGATGGCTCGTAAAGTATTTTCTCCCTCTTTTTCAGTATACCTTCGTGGTGTAATGGTTAGCACACTTCGCGCGTATTTGAGAGGTCCAGGTTCGAGTCCCGGATAGGACACTGTTTTTTTTTTTCATGTCTCCCGCTTCTAAATAACCTAACGTCTCTACAAATTCTATAGAATGACAATCTTCTAGGCAGCTAGCCCTCATATGCTTTGCTTTAATGAAGTAATTAAGTTTCATTAATCCAATCAAACTGCCATTGCTTTTATGTGCTTTAAAGTGTCATTTGTTTTCTCTCTATGTTCATCTGCTATTTAGTACGGCAGTATTCTGAACTTATTTCTTCACCTTTTTTAAAGAATATTATTCAAATGTATTAAATGCAAAGTCCAGCAGCGAATTAACTAATTAAGTCCAGCAGTGAATTTACCATTTAAACATATTTAAAATTTACATAGTTGTCATCAGTTTCGTATCCTCCAGCCGTCGTCTACCTGTAGTATAGAAGCATTTTCTGTTGATATATAACAATCGTTTACTTCGGTTCTGGTAAATTTTAATTTAGGATATTAAGAAAATAAGGCTATTAGGAATAAACATAGAGTCTATCCAGTCTGCAAGTATAGTGTTTTATTTCGCTTTTTAGTCAGTAGAGTTTTCTGTGGAAACTCAATTCTCACAGAAAATTTTTTATCAAAATTTAATATCGAAATCTGGACATTTTATAACAAATTTGTGTTTGTATATAATGATAACTACTCAAAAACAGAGAAATCATGATAGGCAAAAAAAGGTAAAATGTCTTTAGTATTCTTCATAATTTACTGCCACACGTTTTGCCATAATTTTTCAGTTTGTTGCAAAAAACCTAGTGTGCATTTATTCGTAAAAAATCAGGAAAACAGTTCGTCTGTAGTTTACAGCTGACTATACAAGTCAAATGAAAAAGAAGACTAGAATATTTGGCTTAATTGTTTATGATAAATTCTGAGAGAACAAGCTCATCTCAAATTATTTTTTCAATGCTTATAAGTACTTTATTTTATTCTAACCAACTATTTTTAATTTAACTTTTGTTTCCCTCCTGATTTTAGTTTCATGACGGAATATAAATTTCTAATGACGTATTATGCTAATCTATACGTGTTTCAGAAGCAGTATTTAGCTGCACTTCAAGAGTTCGGGAGAGTAGTAGAGGAGTTCCGATATTTATGCTGTGTGTTTGAAATTAGTTTTCTAGTCTGTGCTAGACATCTTTCAGTATATATACCGTACATCTAGACTGATATTTCTAGGCTCGGCTTTAATATGTGCAGCTGATTTATCGGTATTAAGCTAAAGAGCCAGTCGTTAGCCTTTGAAATTTATTAATGATTTGTCACATTCTTATTTTCTGTTGAATTTAAGTTAGCCACAAGTGGTGGCGAATTGTGAGCACAGAGTGCGTGCATCTTTTTAATTTAGTTTTACGTAAAAAGGTTATTTAAAACCTTCTGCAGTAGTTATTCTACAAAGACATAACAAGCATTCGCTACTTCGTCTTCTACGTAGCCTCCATGTTCTATGCCACCAAAAAGAAGACAGACTCTATATGCTTTGTCATAAGTATCCGCTACAAGGACTAAAAGGATGTCTTTCGTGGAGGAATTTCTGGGGAAAATGGCGTACTTTACACAATTAAAACATTCTTTCAGCTAATCCTTTCGACGAGAGCCGAATTCGGGGAGAACTCCGTTCCTAGAGATCTTATCTTTCAATAGTAGAATTTACCAAAAATTAAATTGTAGAGTAAAAGGCTTGCAACTTTGAAGTATAAACGGCAAAAAAAGCTCAAGTACTGAAGTTTAAAACTGCTTGTATATTTCTACAAGAATGGTTTGTTCACATCTTACATAACTACGATATATACTGACGAGCCCAAACCCCATCGCCACTTTTTTTAATGAATTACTCTGTATGACGTGGACAGCACATGATTAAGTAAAACTGGTATTTAACTGCTAAGGTAAAGAATCATTTTTGCACTTACTTTTACGAGTGATGGGAAAGGATGCTGATCTAAACGAACTTGATAGAGGGCAGATTGTAATGGTCTGAAGACTTGGAACGAATATCTCCGACTGGTAGGTTGTTCACGAATAGCCGTTGTTAGCATTTATACAAAGGAGATAAATGACTGTGAAACCAACAGCAGACTCCAAAGTGTTGGACATCCAGGCGTCATCAAAGAAAAAGGACGCGAGAGACTGCCTGGCTTGATACAGCAATATCAGCACCAGGTTAGTGCCTCACCCGACAGCCCAATACAATTCGGGTCCAAACGCAAGTTTTTCGGAACATACAGTTCAGCGAACACTGTCGGATATGGAATGTGCAGCACATGTCAGACTCATGTACCTTTGTTGACTAAGCGTCATTATCAGTTACGCCTACAGTGGGCCCCGGAACACCGAGATATTGTTATAAGTGGAAGATTGTTACTTTGATGAATCACGATTTTTCGTTCATCACATCGATGGACGTGTCTGGGTACGCCGACTTCCAAGAGAACAGTTTCTCCCCTTCTGTACAGCAAGTTATACACAGGCTGGTGGTGGCGGTATTATGCTTTGAGGGACGTTTTCGTGAGTGCTCTGGGACCCTTAGTTGTGGTAGAACAGAACAACTTTCATGCTCTGGGACTTTATTTTTCATGCTCTATTTTTCATTTTTATTTTTCTGGGACTTTCTTTTTCATGCTCTGGGACCCTTAGTTGTGGTAGAACAGAACAACTACCAGTTGTGGTAGAACAGACCATGAAAGATGCTGACCATCTGAACCTAATCGCGGATCAATTGCATCCTTACATGGCGTCTGTCTTCCCAACTGGAAAAAAAGTCTTCCAGTTGGACAGCGCTCCATAACACATGGCTCGAGTTACGTTGGAATTGTTTAAGCGACATAAGGATTAATTCCAACTAATGTTCTAGTCACCTAACTCGCTGCACCTTAACCCGATACAGCACATTTGGAATGTGATAAGGCGGCACCTCAGAGCTCAAACACCACCATGTCGGAATATCTCAATATGTTGGTGTTTTGACCGCTGCTTAGGCATTTGGTATCTCGCCATCTACCAAGAACTTGTGGCATCCATGCCATGGTGAGTTGAACTGTTTTGTAATCGAAAGGTCACGCAAAGCGTTATTGAGTGGGTTATCACCATGTTTTGGCTCTTCAGTGTGTATATTATATATGTAATAAAAGATCTGTTACAGTAAGTTATTTTCCAATTTCGTTAGAATAGTTTATTTCTGATAGAGAAGGATATCGTAGTTTTCCTTCTTCTTATGGCGTCACTTTTCTTAACGTTACCAATCACAGCCTATTTTCACAGTTTTCGGTGAACTCTATCAGTAATGGATTAGCAAATTGTCAACTCTGGAAACGTTTGCAGGTTACAATGCATATCATTTTAAACTTTATAACAGTTCATTTCTCAATAGGGTAAAATACCCAGGCCTTTTAAAAATAAATAGACTTTATGTTAATAACACATGATGGGGAAACAGAATCTGTTTTCGTGAAAACATAATGAAAGAACTGGACAGAAGTCGGTGAAATCTATACGTCCATGGAGATTTTCAGTGTGAAACATTACTTTCTTTCAGATTAAAAAAAATTAAAAATATGCGAGTTACAAAATAAAGTGAAAGTCGATTAAGCACTTAATCGTATATATAACTAGTTGAAAATAAATTTCTCATTAATTTTGATATTGCAAAGGCAATTGTTTAGATTTAATTGAAACTGGAGTAAATATTTTAATCAATCAATTTAACTTTCATTTCTCTCAACTTACATTCAACTGAAATTTCCGAAATATCTTATTACGGTTTAATAACCTGATATTACTCAGTTCTCAAATTTGAGTATTAACGCAAAAATTTCCAAAACGTAAAGTACGCAAAATAATTTCAAATGTGAGTAACGAGAATAAATTTAATTTGCATTCATGAACCACTGTACAAAGGAAAATTATTAACACAAATAATAAATTAATGAGAGATTTTCTCGACGTAAACACGCTAGCATGTTTTTGTTTTTGTTGAATCAACAGTCAACGACGCAGCGACACATACTGATAGAAAGATCCGCAGAATCTGCAGGTAGGGCTGAATTCGTCTTTCTTTGGAATATGCCAGCAAGTGCCGCACCTTAGTTTGTATTTTTTGTACCTGAAAAAAAGAAAATTTCATATAACATTAAGAATATGGCTTTCATAATGCAATACAGTTTGCAAATTAATTGGAATAAAGCGAGTTTTTTTTTATAGTTCACGTATATACAGTGATAATAAGACATATATACAGTGAATTTGTAGAGATATTAGGTAATTTGGAAGGAGGAAAGATGAAAAATGAGCAACTGATTTCGCCGGGAATCGAGCCGCGGACCTCTGGAATACGCTCCCAGCGTGCAGACCGCGAAGGCATGCCAAAAAGGCGGGAGAAATATCTTATTGACATACAGTGGTAATAATAAAATTAATAGGAAATATGTCCCCAATCGAACGAGCTGGTTGCATGATTTTCGTGATTTTTCCCATGGCAGCAGGAATACGACCCATTTTCCCTTAAAGATAGCGTCCGTGTGCTTTGCCATATTTAAATGGCCAACCAACTTCATGCGTGATTTCTAAACTAATAAAACTAGAAACTCACCGAAGACTAATGTAGTTATCCAATCGGATGGAATATGATAGACACCTTGCCAATCGTCCAATTGCCAACGCCACTCAGTTTGTATTTTTGGCAGATTTAACCAAAAGATTAGAAGTTCAGGTGTTAGAATTTTGACCGATATAAAATTAGCAAAACGTCCACAGAGAAAGAGAACCTTTTAAATTTTTGACATGATTTTGCAAATATGCCAAATTTCAAAGCACGCCACTATATAAATTTCATGCATTAATCTTTGGAAATTTTGAATAAAAAACCTGATGTGGGCACCACATGACTTCCTTGTACGGCCTATTAAATTATCCACATTTTTTGCACATTTATTTTTTCGAATTTCATTAGATATATTTCTCATTCAGTTCTGACTTCGTAGCAAGGCAAAAATGCACAAAAATTGAAAACATCTTCATTAAAAATTGTAAAGTACAGAAAATCTAAAACACCAAATACAGTTAATGTTTTCTATTTTACAATTGAGTTTATACGAAAAAAATAAATCATTACGGCCAATGAACAGGAAGATAAAAATTTTAGTGCACAAAACAAAAAGTTAAATTTTGATTCCACTGGTCAAAAAGACACTGAATTTGTTTCAAAAAGTGACTTAATTCACAATTCTTCTAAGAATTTCAAATGTAAATAAATCAGCCTCGTTAGGTTTAGCACTTTTAAACTGTTGATAACTTTACAACTATTACGTGCAGATTATCTAAAAACAGTAAAGGCATAAAACCTTCAACGAAACATAAGAACAACATCATTCAATCACTTTTAAAGCAGCAAAAATGCATAATTTACCAACATATAAAAACAAAAAGAGTTTAGCGAGCCAGGTAAGATTGGTTATATATACGAGTATATCCACTGCGGCCGATTGTGACGAAAAGTGAAGTGTACAATTTTATATGTTATGGCAGTTCCACATGCAAAATCTTCAACATTTTACTGCTAATCGAATCCCTTTTGAATCCGTTTGACGAAATTCAAATTGCGTTTTTTCATGTCTCTAAAGCTCGACTTAGGATTTATATTAGATTTATATATAGCATTGTTCTAATATAGGTATTTTGACACAAAATCAGACTTTTTCTGAAATGACATGGCAATGTTTTTCCATATTTCGATTCTAAGACACAAATTATGCCGAAATATTAAATATAAATTTGATGCGAAATTTACAGAGAAATTCAAAAATTTATCTTGGCGCATTTTTTTCTAGTTTGCGCCAAGAATTCACTTAGCGAACTTCCTAATTTATACCAACCTATTTTCCTCTCCCTTTTTACAATGTGCACGTGCGGGAGAAAAGCAACATCTTTCCCACTTTCAAATAATCTTAACAAAGTGCGTAAACCCCATTTGATGTTTATATCGCTTTTTAACAAATATGCCATATTTCAAAACTCGCCAATATGTAAATTCATGTATATCTTAGGAAATTTTCAATGAAAAACTCTTAATTTTTTTGCAGGTTATTTTAAGATGGTAAAAATTTTATTTGAATTTCTCTGAAATCTAAGATAAATTTTAAGAAATTTACTTTAGAAAGGTGTTTTCGAAGGTAATTTGCTCACTGCAAATACTATTGCGTGCTATGACGTATCTCCGAAGATGATACTTATGAGGCATGGGAAAACTGAATTTAGGTGATCATAAAATGATTTGATCAACTGCGAAAGCGAGGAAGCATTTCTAATTTTTGTAAGTACAGACTAGAAATGATCTATTTCAATGGTTGTGGTTTTGTTACAAAATATCCGATTTTAATGCGGTTTGCGGCAAACGATTCAGGAAGGAGGAGACTTTAGTGGTCCATCCCGTTTTTTTTTTATGTGCACACCGAAACGGAAAATAAGAAATAACGTAAACTGCGAAATCCTGTACAAGGGAGGGGGGCTTGCGCTTATAAAACACTGTTAAAACTCAATTGCCCTGTGGCATACCGAAACGTTACTAGTAAAGGTTATAAAGGTTTATGATCACTTGCCCTACTGGACCTCTGTAGTTAAGACTCCAGCTGGAAACCAGGTGAACGAATTAGTTTCATGGCTGGTTTTTATTGTGTTTTTCATTGTGGCATGAATGAGTGCTAGTTTTTCTAATAATGTACTCCATGAAGGCATTCCTTAGGAAGATAGCCCTCGTATGCATTATATTCAAATAACGTAACTACTCATATACATAGGTGATGTCCTTCGCAAGGAATTAAATGATAGGTAAATAATAAATATGAGTTATTTTATTTCTTAATAGATTTATACACATTAGGAATTACTCACCGAATTCCGCAGGCATTGCACAAAGGTGTACCATCTTCGGCGTCTCGCCATAGGGGCGTTTTTTTGGCGCTGCAAGAGGCACAATGTTTCTCTAAAAAAGAAAAAAACATCCCAATACCTTTTTTTATTTCAAAATATATCACTTTTCTAAGAATTATGAATTTCATATGTTTTTATGAACTTTGATTAAAAACAAAATTAACTGTAATAATAATTAAAAATAAAATAATTACCTAACTAAGGAGGTTAATAGTTTCCAGGAATAGGATCAATAAATCAAAAAGTCCAAAATTTAAGCGTCCAAAAGTAGAGCCCAAATTTTAATTTGCATAGGATTTCAACTAAATTTTGGTTCTGATAGCAGAAATTTTAAGTTTACTGTATTCAAGTCGTAAGGTTTTAACAGTTAATTTCGAGTTAAAGCCACTATCCTATCACTCCTAATTTCAGCTTACAATTTCCTGCCAGAACATGTCTTCAGAATCAGGGTTAAATGCAAATGAAGGAAGTGCAAGTATTTAAAATTGAAGTTCTACTGACTTCGTTAGAGAGCCAGAGATTCTGACCAACGCGCGTTCGTCTTTTAGGTTACTCTCTCTCTCTCTAAAGCTATTTTTTTGGCCCTTGATATCTTCGCCGTTTAGTTAGCGTTAAGGGGTCAACTCCTGTAGAATTCCGATAGCTTCGGTCACATCGTTTTAGTTAAGTTTTGTTTCTTAGTATTTCTGAGTTCAAGCCCAAGTAGCGGCTTTTCTGTACGTCCTGAAAGAGGACAATCTGTTAACTTTTTTTTGAACAATAAAGGGTAATCAACCCTTCGTACGTTTACGTTTCTATTTTTCTGAACTAAGCGTTAGTTCTCAAGGTTCCACACATTTAGCTTTAAATTCTAGGGTGGAACATGACAAAGTTAGTGCTGCTTCATTCCTAAGGGAATGACTAAGACTGAATTATTTCATCATTACAAAACATATTATGGCCATCTAAGTGCACAAACGAGTTTGAGAACTTTCGGAAAGAAACTAATCAGTAATTACATCATACAGATCACGATGAAAACTCTATGCAGCTGGATCACAACATAGAGCGTAGTTTTTACCACTCGGGAAATGAAGATAAGGAATTTTGTTAGAAATCACGACATTCAATTGAAAGGGCTAAACAACGCAAACAAGCAAACACTGCCTAATGGAGGAACTCATTTCTGCTCAAAGAACCTGCAGCTAACTCATTTCAAGGAGGCATTTTTGTTGTGTCGCAAAAAATTATTATTTGATAAAAATAAAAGCGGAAAATCAAAGGAACTTAACGGATTTGAAACATTAACTTTACAATTTCATTTTTAAATTCTAAACCTATCGATATAGCAGAAGTTATCAAAATCTTGTAAGGCGTAATAACAGTTATTTTTAATTTTGAAACCATTTCCTATCAATTCTTGTTTCCCACTTACAACTCCTTACTAGAATGATTTTTCAGAATCGCGTTGAAAGCAAATGAGTTAGAAGTAGTATTTAAATAAAATTCAACTTACTTCGAAAGAAAGTGCTTAGGAGTCTCTAGTGGCGCGTGTTTGCCTTCTGGCTATTTCATTCTTGAATTTATTATATACTCGGCCATATTTCTACGTGCTTGTTGATAATCGCCAGCTAGTTTAAATTAAGGGCAACTACATTAGATAGTTGCGCCTAACTTCGGCTAAGTCTATCTTAGTGTCTTATTTTCTTGTCCTGACTTAAAAGCCCGAATGGGGGCTTTCCTGTAAGCCCGAGAAGGGGCCAACTGTTATCATTTATTTGAGTGAATAAAAGGGTATCTTAACCCTTCTCGAGTCTACGTTGTCTACTTGAACTACTAAGTCGCTACTTAGTTCACCACATTTTATCATAGACAAAGTAGTGAGGAAGATTATAATCTCATTCCTACTAAGTGAACACAATAAAACATACGGAGTACAATTGTATTTCGTAAGCGTTTTATTACTGCAGTCTAAGGAACTCTCTTTTTATGTAACTTTGTCTTAAGGTAATATTTCGATCAATTAAGAAGAGAAGACAACCACGATAACAAAATAATCTACAAAAAATTTCGAAACTACCATCAACACTAGAATAAAATTATTGAATAGAAGATAAAGGTGTTGAAATACCTTCTGGTGCTTGATAATAATTGGTATTCATTTCTTCCTCTTCAGAACTATCAACGTAAGTTCTTACTCTCTTCTTTTTCTTCTTTGGCGATAATCTATAATTTAAAAGCTCAAATCGATCATTTAGAAGTTTCGAGAATTGTAAGCTGATTTGACAGTTTATCAACAGCCGAAAAGGTAAAGCATTGAGTAATAGAAATTAAGAAGTGGATTGATTACTGATGGGCAGAAAGAGTTTTGTTTGTTATCCAAAACGGTTGATAGAGTTGGGCTCTTAATACCTATCTATGGGTCAGCGCCCATTATTTGTACGTGCCTGTAGAATAAAAAAGGATCAATATTGAATGGCCAATGAAATGGTATGCTTACACACTGGAAGCGATTGAGTAATCAGTAAGCAGTTTTTTCTGATAGAATCGATTTGGTTTGCTTATCACTCCAAAATATGGGCTGTATAATTTTTACTCAAAAGTTTCACAGATATTTACCCTGCAACAACGTTCAAATGTATTTTTAGCAATCAGCAGCTGATTGCGCTTTAGAGCGATATCTTCATGAAGTATTTTCTAAGGAAACTGGCTCATTGGTTTATTGAGATTGCAGCAAAGCACACTAGGACTATCTGCCTAAGGGTAGGGATGCCTTTGTGGAGGGATTTCTAAGCGAAACTTGCTCGTATACACGTTACACATGGAGAAAACCACGAAAACGTTCATGCAGCCAGCCCGTTCGCAGGATTCTAAACTCTGATCGAACTACTAGTGTTCAGCGACTTTACCGCTCATCCGCTGGTGAGGGAACACGGGCTCATATTTACTTTATACTTGGGGGGAGAAAGCACTTGTAGCTAACTTGTTCTTCCGCAACTGAATCCGCGATTATTTACGAGTATTCAATAGCTTATCCGTTCGATGACTGGCTGGCTTCTTATCTTAATAATCCACTTGCATCAATTGAATTTGCTGTAGTATATCAGTAACAGATATATTACAACAAATTCAATTGGTGTAATCTGTAATTGATAAAACCATTTAATTTTTGCTCGTTATTTTATTCTAGGTTTGTTTGGCTATATGAATATGGCAAAGCATAAAAAGCCATTTGCCTAGAAAGGGGTAAGCCTCCAAGGATAAACGTTACACATTGGAAAACCCATAAAAACCTAACCATACTACACGACCGTTCATCTAGGACCCAATCAGGCTAAAGCCTCCAAAATTCAGTAATTTTAATCACTTGGCCACAGGCGGAGCTTACATGATTTTAGAAATTTGAAATTTTACTAATATTTGAACGATATATTATTGATTCTCAAAATAGAGTTTTATTGCCAAATTAGTGAGAATTCAGTCAATAAGAATTCTCAAGTAAAAGCTTAAGAAGTTTTCAAGGAAAAAACTGAGGGACTAATAAGTACTGCCCATAACAGCATTAAATTGTTTTCACTAACACTGTACTGAATTTAAGCAAGTCACATTTTTAAAATTTTTATGATTATATTTCACACAGCCGTCTTCTGTTTAGTACATGTAAGTAATCAGTTGCAAACATAAGAAATGAGTATCTTAAGCTTAGCTATACTGAAATTATATTAATTTTTAAACGAAATCAGATTTCTCGTGAATAGGAGTAAGCTTATTTTAATGTATTTTGAAAGGTCATGAAGCAAATAAGGCTTTTATGAATTTTTGAAGATTTTATATCCTATTCGAAAAGAAAGACCAGTCTAGGGACTAAGAGGCTTCTTATTACCAACATAAGGAAGCCTCATTACGAGCAAATATATTTCATACACGAAATTTTGTTTTCAATTTATTTCTCATGTTTACCATATCTATGGTTGTAGAGTCATTAGGTTAGTTTCAGGCAGAAAACATAAGAAATGCCCTCGCCGAAACTCGCACCTGGACTTCTCGAATACGTGCCGAGTGGGCTAAGCGTTACACCACGAAGGCATGCTAGAAGGAGGGAGAAAATAGCTTATAATGAATACTTTAATAAATAAAATTGTTAATGAAATTAAGCAGATATATTTAAGACTACGAAACAAGCATATTTTGAATTTACATTAGATCGAACTCACGCTGGTCATTATGGGAATGAGAGAGCGAATGAACTAGCAAAAGATGCCGCCTTGGGGGTTGGAATCGAAAAACTTCTATTGAAGATTCCAAAAAGGAGACATGTACTATAATAAAAGTTAAGCTTATTCAAGACTGGGAAAATCTGTGGGATCTCTCTGAAAGAGACAAAAATTATCCAAATTGTTCAAAAATTAGCAAATAATTGCGAATTTTAGGAGATGTAGACGTCAATCAAATTCTAACTGTGCACGGAAGTTTCCCTGCTAACTTAAATTCCACCTCCACGGAAATGATATATTAAAGTTTGTAATAAATTTGGCTATTCAAAGAATTTCGCCGAGGACTAGAAAAATATAAATTAAAAAAAATTGAAGATTTATTTAGCAAATATAAGATTTATTTACTAAATATAAATTGTTTAGAAAATTTGCAACTGATATTATGCAAATTGTGAATGAGAATAATGAGAATATTTGTATCAAGATATAACAAAGCAGAAAATCATATTGAAAACAGATATGATTGAAGTAAACCCATAAATTTAAGATGGATTTTGATAATATAAAGAAAATTTGAATAATGATAATTGAAAGTAAAACTTATAAAGATTTAAAACTTAGGAAAGAACATAGAAATGGAAACGTTACCTCTACATACAGATTTCACCGAGAGCATTTGTAATGTATGTATCTGTTTTACGTGTTGTGATTTTATTTCTTTTGTAATCCGTTTTTTTCTTACGAGTTTCTTATATTCGTTTCGTGTAATTGTATGAGCTGAACTTGTCATCAGATGTTTATTAAGTTTGTTATATTCCGTTATTTAACCATTTATTTTGTTATATTTCTTTATTTAACATTCATTTATTGTTGGATTGGCCCGTCTCCTCATAGCCATATGGCAGGCTTTGCCTGCTAGGGGAGCTGGGGGGGCAGTGCTCTGAACTAACCAACCTTACAAGGTATACAATGTAGTAATTTATAAGAATCAGGGCATGAACCTCAATTTCTTCCATTTGGAGGCAGAAAATATTCACGGAAGAATATGGTCCTCAACAAAGCATAAATTAAAAAGAGCTAGGAATTGTTTTTTTATAACGTATATTGGTAAAACAGTTTTTCCTGCCCGACGGCGATGCTTTGCGTTTTACATCTTTACAGCGTACAGCTCTTGGGAAGGGGGGGATAAACCATGACTTACAGCCCAAAACGTTTGCTTGCTAAAGTAAATGAGCTTAAGACTGAAAGTTTTGGTGGTATAGTTCCAAAACAATACAAATATGCCCCATTCGCTGTTTTCGGGTGCGATTATACATGTAATTTTTTATGTGACTTAATGCAATAGCACAAAATCTTTGTCTCAGCTGACATATAATTTCACAACGAGAAATATACTTACGAAAAGGTAGAGTGGATAACCAGTTTCCATTCAGAATCGATAAATTTATTCTCCATCGTTATTGTTACTCCACGAAAACTGGGATCATCTGGCGGAGATGAACGGCATGGTGTAGAACTTTTCCTTTTCTTTGATCCGAAGACTCCACCATTTGTTACACGTTTAATTTCATTTTTCGGAGTAGTTTCGTTGAATCTTGAAATACCTAAAATTTCGTTAACTTTTGTATTTTCGGACACTTCATCTAAACTTGTAAGTGAATCGTTGCTGTCATTTGTCCTCTCCATTTGGCTGTTTTCTGAGCATTCTGAAAAACTGTCTGAAAAATCCAGGTCCATACTAGAAAAGATGGCTATATTCTGTAAGATAACATTTTAAAAATTTGCATTAAAATGTTTTATACAGTATAAATAAAATACTACTTTACTTCTTAATTATTTAATTAATATTATTTAATCATTCAAACTTGAGCTAACAAAATTACATTCCTGAAGGAAGTGAGTTTCAGTGCCCTATTCAGCTTAGGAAATAGGTGGTTTGGTTTATGCCTAAGGAGACGGATGCCTCCGTAAAGGACTATCTAAGGGAAACTTGCTCGTATACGCATGGGGAAAATCACGAAAACGTCCATGCAGCCAGCCCGTTCGCGGGATTCGAACCTCCGAACTACCAGTGCTCAGGGACTTTATCGCTCTCGGCCGCTGGTGGGCTCTTTAAGAAATGGTGTCTGCCTGCTAATTTTAATCAACTATTGAGCAAATTTAAAAGTTAGGAATCTAATCAGACTTCTTTTAACAGAGAACAATGTGTCCGGAAGGTCCTTATATCTTACAGTGTATCTCTACAAATTAAGAATAATGTAATGAACGCATAGGATGGAAGTTTGCTTGGTTAGTTGACTGTAGTAAAATACGTGAACCTAACTACAGTTAGTTAACAAGACATTTAGTCCAAGAGACTATCATTACTCCAAATCTGAAGAGCAGGGTTTCCCAACTCTAATGGCCCGCGGGCATCATGGTTCTCGTCGATCATTTAACGTGTGCCCGCCGCTGTGCGATCACAATAAAAATGTTTTAGTTTTCAATAAAATTCTATGCGAAAGTTTTCTCATTTTTAATGAAATAGAAATTGCGTCCAACACAGATATTGGCACAGAGCGAAACGTGGCCGATCTCTCTCTCTCTCTCTCTTTTTTTTTACATTGCATGTATTATTAATACCCAACTATAAATTCACATTGAAAAAGTAAATGGTGCCCGCCGTCTGAAAGATATTCTTAAATATGCTCTTAGGGACAAAAGTGTTGAAGACCCTTGCTATAGAGGTTACTTTGGAACATACGGGGACTTTCCCGTAACGGACTGTAACTGTGAACCTGGAGGATAAAAATCAACGACAGAGTTTATAAGGGTGTTGAAAGTATAATTTTATGGATGCCTAACGAAAATTAACTGGAATTTTCGTTTAACAAGCCAAGATTTATAGAACCATCTCATAAACAAGAAATCCGCTTTGAAATTAGTACTATTTATATACTTTATACGCTTGATTATTAGAGAACTATGGAAATTTACAAGAAAAATTCTGAAAATGTGGGTGATTTATTTATCAGCATGAATTTTAGCTTGTCGTGAGTACGAATTTTCGTTTTAGAAATAAATATTACGATTCAATGAAATGCTGAAAAAAAATTTAAAATTAGACTAAAATTACCCAAAATTTGTAGGTTGACTGTTGTTAAGTAGTGATGAAAAAGCACACAAAAGCTATTTGCCTAGAAAGAAGGCCTTCATAGAGGATTTTCTAAGCAGGTTGGTTTAAAAATTACACATGAGTAAAGCTACGAAAGTGCTCACACAGCTAGCCCTTTCGCCGTATTACGAATCCAGCATGAAGAATCAATCCAACCATTGATATAAAAATAGTTTTGTATTTAGATCTTTAAATTGATTCCCATTTTGAGAGCGGGAATAAAATTCCCAGGAAATTAGAATAAAGAATTATGAATTGCATCTGTAGCCTAATGAAAGGAAACTAAATGGTTAAATCAAAGCCATATTTGGACTGAAACCAAAATATTTCTAACTTATTTAGTGAAATCGACATAATAAGAGTCCTACATAAAATTTCATAATTTATAAATATATATATAAATTCTGTATAACTCTGTAGAGATAAAATGATTTATAACTTACTTTCAAAATAAAAGCGTTATAATTTTGCGAATTTATGAAAATTCGTTTAATTATTGCTTAACATTAAAAAGATTTTTTTTATCAAAATCATGAACTTCTACTCACATATTTCTGAATACTGAATTTCTCATGAAACCATCACGTTTTATTTTACATATTTATTTATATGATTACAAGTATTTCCAATTCATTATTCAGTTGTGACGTTTCTTACTTTCTCTGCAGAAAGTAAATATATTTCGACCATGGAACGTTGAGGAGGAAGCTCTTTGAGCACCTGAATATTATAAATATCAAAGAAACGAATATAATTGAGCTAAGAATGGTCTTCAGATAATGTAGTAGAGAAATAAATAGTAACCATGCTGAAAAGACCATTTAATTTTTTGTGTTGGCTAGGAGTTCATATTGGTTTAAGAGGTGTTGGAAGCCCAAAATCTTCAAAAAATGGTGATTTGGGATTTTTGCATTTTCAAATTCTTTAAACGTTTAGCTTTTTAAAAAAACCATGCTTAAATCTCTATGAAATTAGAATTGTAAAAAATCTAGTTTTAATTTATCATGGATGCTTTGATAAATGAGGATTTTTACACAAAAACGCGTTTTCCTCCATGTGTGATTTTTCATTCTCGATGTACCTTTTCCCCAAAACTACTGCTCACAAGTACGCGATTTTTTTTCTTATTTATCACTTTTCCTAATATTTACTGAAATGAGTTTTTGAGATAAACTAAGGAAGAAAAAATTACAAATTTGTTTTTGCGAGAAAAATGCTAAATATATATATATATATATATATATATATATGATATAATATAAATAAAAATAATATAATATATGCTAAATAAAAATATGCCTAATGCAATATTCTATAAATTACTCTAGAACTCAAAATATTTGAAAAGCTCATTTCGGTATACTGAAATAAGTGTGCTTTAATTACAGAAAAAATTTCAAAAGTATATCTACAGCAGAATTTGAGGAAAGGTACACCTAAAATCGCCATTCTAACATTAACGATATAAGGGGTTTCGACTCCCCTTAATAGAAACTAACAGGATTGCCAGAACTAGTCTATAGTTTTGGTTTTGTAGCAGCGGGTCTTAATAATGGGTTTTATGCTGTTATAATTATGCAACCTGTAAACGGTTCTTTGATTTATTGGGGTGATTAACACATATTAACTTACAGCATTTTAAAAAATGAACTCTGTTTTGAAATTAAGTTTTTATTGCCATATTTATAAAACAACATTTCCTTTTGATTGTAAAGAAACAAAAACAATATCACAGCATAGTAAATAATGACCGATACTGAAAAACATATGAAAAGTGGAAGCACTTAATGATTCATCCAGGTAAAACTATCAAATCTATTTTTACTAGCGAGTTTCTATTGGATACTATAGAATTCATTCACCTGGGTCTATGAATGGAGAGCAGGTGCAAATTATGTTTGTTAAAGGGCTATAACAACAAATAACATCTGTTATTTGTTGTCAGGGCTATAACATCTGTTGCTATAACAACAAATGCATTTACTATCATTCAATGACCAAGTTATAATTTTTATATTGATGCATAGTGCAAGAGATAAGGTACCCACTGCGTGAAGAGTCATAGGATAAATTCGTGTCAGTCATACAAAAAGAGTACATAAATGTTTTTTGCACAAAAATACGAAAACACTTAACCCAGTAATATTATTAATTTGTGAAATATTGTCTTTAATATATATCCTCTAAATATCCTTCTGTGGAAAATGTTTCCGATCTATAAAATATTCTATACTAAGTGACATAAAACTACCAAATAAACTTATGACAAAATTTGTATGACAAAATTATAAAATGCAATATTATGTGATAATGACATATATCACATAATATTGCATGAATATTTATACTTAAATAAATTAAACACATATTCAGTTTCTGCGATGAATTTAAGTTCTGATTTCTTTTGCAACTTTTGTTTTATTTAATATTTCGTTTTGACGAATTCACTCTAAAATGAAAGTTGCCAAATGAAATTCGATTCCTAATTTAATTAACGGAATAATGGATCGACATTTTTATATTATTTTGAAGATTAGAGTAATGATGGCTATATAATTATCTGTATAACAGTCTGATGCTATCAGTACAGTCTTGTATATTACAGTTTGTTTATAGATTAAAAGCACACTTTATACAGTTCATTTATAGATTAAAGTTTCTAGGAAATAATTTTCTTGAGGAATCTATTTCTATCTCTTAAATTAATGCATCGAAAATCGGGCACAAATTAAAACAAAAGTTAATAAGCTATGAAAAAAGGCTGATGATACATGTAAGTAGTGCACAATTTCATGAAAACAACATCGAGACGTCACATTTGGATTCAAGATGTAATATAGTGCTAAGATTTGTGATTCTAAGTCTACATTTTTAGGGTTTATATCGCATACCACAACTTTAGAAGTTCCAGTAAACTTAGGTAAATTAAGTTTGGACTGCCACAGAGCATGACAGACGGATCAGTAAAAAACCAGTTTATGCGAATAATATTTCTCGAAAACGAAACTAAATAAATATGTTTTTAAACTGCTAGGGTATATTAAATTTCATCACACTGATTGAAAGCAAATTGGTTTAGAAGATGAGCGTCTTATGTGCTTTGTCATTGACGCCAGTTGATTCAAATGATCTTGCAAAAAATCGAAAGAATAGGCCTTTCACATGAAAATGGAAGCAGTTTTCAAAATACATTTAAAAGTACTGACGATAATTTCAAATTCAAATACATAATTTGAAAGATTTCTTATATAATAACATGAGAAATTTCAGAAATGAAATACCACAAGTGGAAAGTTCGAAAAACAGATCACCAGCTTCAAATTTATGGCCCGATCTGCGAAACTTTTGGTTTTAAATAATGTTAATGTTTAAATATTAAGAGAAGCTTTGTATATATACTTGATTTTATCTTCCGATCTTAGGAAAGTAAAACACATTAAGCTATGACCTGAGTAGATCACAAGAGAGTGGCAATCAATGGTACTCAACGAATCGTTGTCAAAGTTGTACAGATAACCAATATATTTCTTACTAACATTTTTATTTCATATAAAACTATAGTATTTTGCTCTAAAATATTAACAAAGACATAATTAACAAAAAC